TTTTATGTCCACGGCAATGCTTTCATTAAAATATGATCCTAATGAGAAGCCAACAATGGGCTTGGGTCCAAATTTTTTTGTAGAGAATGGATATTTCACATGAATGAGAAAGTTCTTATAGAATCTTTTACTATTTGGATGGCTGAATTGTCTACATAACTTTGTTGCAATTCTAATTTTTTCTGATCTGTTTTTGGTAGTAATTTCTTTAATGAAATGTATTTGATAAAACTATGTAATGTGTAATAGTGATGTAATAGTGACCAAAGTACACCACAATGGAACTTTTTTCCAAGCATTATGACTCTGTAATTTTCAAAACTGATACATGTCTTGGCTCTTTTCATGGTATCTTTACTTAATAAAAGTGAATGTCCAAGTTCGCAACATCACTAACAATACTGATATTAATGTTGGCATGTTAGAGTAGCTGTGAACAGTGATTTATTTTTTTTCCATCACTGAACTTGTAATTTCTTGGTTCTTCTTGGACATTTATTTTTTTTGCTGTTGTACAGGAACAGTTTCCAGAAAACAATCAAACCATTTAGTCCCACAATTAGTGGCAGAAGCACCACTGTCTAGGACTGCTGAACCAAGTTTCTCACCCAAAAATGTTTGACCATTGTCTTTTTGCTTTTGCTGACTTATCAGCACAATGTTGGCCTCTGATATGTAGTCGTCCTTTTAACTCCCATCCTGGTTATTACTGGTGCTATCAGTGTACGGACAATTGTAACTCCAGTGAAATTTGCAGCTATACATGAAGCATTTGATTGTATTGCCTTCGGTTTCAAATAAGCCTGAAAGAAGATATTGAAATTTTGTTCCTATATCTTCTTCTGTCTCTGTTACCTCAACATCTGGAAAATCAAGAAGGATGTCGGTTTGACAAGCAACCGTAATATACTTTATTAATGTCTTCTTGGCTGTTTTCATTGTAGGCACAATCCATATCTTTCATTATCACAAATGGTGGAGTATTTGTTGACAAAGCATTGGAAAACTGTCTGCACATAAATTTTTTAAAGTTGTTTAGACATTGTGGACAGTGTTAATTTGCCAATGGTTGCTTTTACTTGTTGCTCATTCTCAGGTGTCAAATGTGCATTTTTTAATGCTCTGTAGGCAAATACCAGCTCTGGTAATTGCATGTTGTGGTCCTATAACTTTGCGACATGATGGTCAGAGTTAATAAGGTCATTGTCTATTGACATGTCCTTTTGTTGTTGATACTGTTTGAATGACTCATATGTCATAAAAGCTGACTGGTTAGCATCCTCTAAAAAGAGCGTATTCAACTTTTCATATAATTTTTCCATTCCATCATTGGCATGTAATGTCCAGTTCCAATATGGCCTCTCTGGCTTTTCCTTCCAGGGATAAAAATACTATGGATGTGTGGTGAGGTTTGTCAATGCAAATAGCAAGTTCCCAGACTTGCATTTCTTTTTTCCAAGTGTTGTATTTATGTGTGTTTAAAATAGGTGGAGGAATAAATTTGGAATCCATTATGCTGATTGAATTGCTCTGCTACAAATGTAAATTTAAATTTAAGGAACTCAGATATGTAATGGAAATGGAATGTTTTATTCAAATTCCTTCATTCTCGACATGTGTACCTTATCTAAAATGGCTTCTCAGTCCCTTCTGAGTAAGCTGCCTCTTTTCCAATTGAAGGGTTGCCAAGAGAAGCAACTCATGAAGATTAACAAACTCAACACTTAGTTTTTGTTAACACATGACTCCTGACCTAGTAGCAACAGTTTGATGACCATGAGTTTAGCAGTGGATTTCTTTACATTGTGTTAATTTTACATTGTTAAAACCTGCAATGAGTTCTTTTTATTACTTTTATATTTACTAAGTTTAGCTAAGTATAACACAATTTAAAATAGGATGGGGAGGAAGGAAAGATTTTTGATCACCATTCTCTCTTTCCATTTAGAATTGTGTTGTAGAAAGTTAAGATTAGTAAATACCAAGACATGCAATGAAAATTGCTTGTTACTTCATAGTGTTTAGCTCTTATTTTTATGTAATGTATAATTTATTTGCAAAGATTTATTTATTATTTATTTATCACGTAGAAGTCATTACATTCTCAGCCATTTTTGTTCTCTTTCTCAAAATCCTTTTGTAACTTGGGAAGCTACAATAAGAGAAATATATTAAGACAAGTGTTAAACATAATTCTTAGCTTCTGCAACACATTGGTCTCTGCACAATTCTTATATAGATAAACAAACCACAGAACTGATGGTATTTTAGGCTTGATAATTGTAAAAACTATGAGTTCTACATAAATTAATTTTTTTGCTTCCAGAACTGGCAAAGCAGTATAAAATATTTCCTATAGAAAGATAAGAAATAACTATTTAAAAGAAAAAAGAATATTAGTAGTATATGAAATCATTTCTTTGATCTCCACTTGGTTTCTTATGACCAGTGATTTGATTTACGCTTTTCTATTTGCTAAGTGATTCCTTTACTCTAACTTGGTTTCTTGTGATAAATGATTTCTGTGATCAAAAAACAGAGTCCTAGTCATGACAAAGGACCTATTTAGCTTTGAAGACAGTGTAGCTTGGCCAGTGTTAATATTACCTCTGATTTTAATACTACACTTCTTTCTATGATTTTGTGTACTTTATTCTTTTTTACTAAATACAAGTGTTATCTGAAATAGTCATACTGATTGGAAATTTTCAACTTATAAAATATGTGCACTGGTTCAAACAAATGCTCCTTCAGCAATTTTTTATATGAATTTAATAAACAGGAAACAAAATAATTGTGCCATGGATAAAATTATTTTAAAATATAATAAGCATGCCTTACCAAATAAATGCTCTGCCAGGCAAAGGAGCAAATTAAAGGAAATAATAATGGCAGCATTTGGTTTTGATACACAAGAGTAGGTTTCTCTCCTTTGTAGTCCTGGAAGATATCTCTCATGTATTTGTTCCTTCTTTGTAGAATCTTTATATATTATGAATGTTTTCTTCTTCAGATTTTATATATCCTTTCGAAAAGCACATTTTCAGTCTTGCTATTTCTTTTATCTTTTATACATGCTTTCTCTGTAGTGTTTCTATCTCTGAACACTTCTTGTTGAACCATTCATCCTTTGGCTTGCCTGCATTTTTTTCTACTGTATTTTCTTAAAATAATATATTCCATGCCATTCTTTGCCATTATCTGCTATCTCTTTTTCATTAAAAAAAAAAACTTCACTTGTCAGCCATTTTTTTCTTTTCTTCTCTCTTTTCTGTTAGGTTGACCTCTTTGTTCTGATGTCATCAGTGTTTTTCTAAAGGTGTTCTACTTTGGGTTATTGACTTATTCTAAGCTTTTGTATTTGATTTTGATTATATTAGCATATGTCCATTTGTAAACTGAGTCATTTTGGAAGCTGTTGCATTGTTGTTTACATGTTAGGTTTTTGAATTTCTGTAGTTTTAGTCTTATTTTGTATATGATTGAGAATTGTGATCACTCCTGTAATGTGTGCTTGGGTATGTCTTAGAGTGTAGAACTGTATTTCTAAATCATTTACTGATTGTTAAGTAGTCTATCTGGTTATTTGTGTTTCTTTCTGTGCTTTTCCATATCCAAAAGTCTCTAGATATTCTTGATGTGGCGTGGCTGGGGCAGCAGCCTGCTGTCTTTAGTCAGGATCGATCCTGGTATCGGAGAACAAGCCATATGCCCACACTCGGCAGTCGTTGGTGGCGTTAGACACAGCAGCTGGTCTGTAAATTGACCTCTTCAATTATGACCTCGCTTACCCATGTTGTGATTTTTGATCATAAGAGGGTTAAGTTGAATTTTCACTGGGGTATCTCAACCAAGCTAAACCAAGAAGTTGAATACGCACACAAAATTAAAAATAAAATAAACAATGCTTTTTCTAACCCGTTTCTAATATTTGGCGATGGAACGAAAATTTCAGCTAACTCCTTTAAGGATGGCCAGACTTGACAACTGGATTTCTTCAAGTACTGTTGATTGTGCTTTCAAGGATGGCACTAGGATATTGTCAAAGTTTTCTTCAGCGACAACTGGATTTAACTTCAAGTACTGTTGATTGACTTTCAAGGACAGCACAAGGATATCGTTGGAGTTTTTCTTCTTCAGCAGATAATTATTATTATCATTATTATTATCATTAGGTTGGCAAAAAATCTCTTAACCACCACCTCCTTCAGGGAGGAGCCATTATATGATGTCAGTCTTCATGACGTCTCCCCTGCCTTCAATAATTGCTCATTCTGACTTCACAATTATAATTTTTCTCTTAGGGAAATTTTTGGTCGATAATTTTCTCAGCATGTAGGAATTGACACCTCTCAACAGTCAACTTTAACCTCTGGCCCCTGAACCTGCCAGCTGTGTCTCGCTGAACAGTAACAATTGTATTTTGTATTTTTCTCAACAGAATTCGTACATCTGTTCTCAATGCCCTGGGAAAATGAGTCTCTTTCTGATAAAAAAAATAAAAATCATTTTTTAACCCTTTTTGTCCATATGCCATGTTAAATATTGTCACATTGAAACCAAGTGTTGATTATTACTTAGTCATTCACTGTGCACCAATGAACCATTGTTTATTACCCCTCATATATAAAAATATGTGTGAGAGAGAGAAAGAGAGGAAAATAAGTTGTAAAGAAAATTAAATTACTAGAAGAAATAATTTTCTTTTTGGCCATATTTTTTATAGAGAATGAAACGCATTGCCATGGAATATTAGCTATTCAATTGATCTCACAAACAACATAAATTGGCTGCAAAAACTTATCCATTTTAGAGTACTGCGTAATGGTTAAGATAATTGTACATATTCCAGTGATGCCAGAGTTCAGTGTTTGTGCAATTTTGATTGATGATTTTAAAGGTATGCAAGCCTTCCTCACTTGGATGGTAGGAGAGAACCACTATCTTCTTATTTCCTATCATCTCCACTTGGCTTGGAAACATATTAAGTTTAGTATGTATCAAAGTGGGAATAGAACAAAGGAAGAAAAAAAAAAACAGATTTGTAGAAAACACTTACCAATGTTAAACAGATACATTGTCACAGCAGCACCAACAAACACAAGACCAATGCTTATTACTAATCCACCAGAAGTATAAAATGCTACTGCAATGGAGACAAAAAAAGATTTTAAAAAAATACTGATTTTGCAAAATTAAGGAATAACATTTTAAAAGAATATTCTTAGTTCAATAATTTCTAATGAATGAAAAAAGTAAAATTAGAAACTATTAGAAATACTCATAACAATTTCACAATATTCCTATTTGAATTTTTTCATGATTGATTTGTATTTTATGGCTTCTCAACCCTTTCGACTTTTTAAAGCAGAAGCATATTTTGGGCAGTAAATTTTTTTTGAAAGTGAATATTGCATTAACTTTGATGATAACAATATTTTTTTCCAGACAAAAGTACTACTATTTAACCCAGGGCTGGTGGAGGAAATGGATTTGTACCTTTCCCAAGGGTATTTGTGTGTAAGTAAATGTAGGGAACTTGACTGGAATTTGATCTTGGCTCTCCGATTTTCTAATCCAAGCCAAGATTAATTACACCACTTGCTCATCCAAATGTTTTGATGAATTATAATTCTTAATTTAATGATTGAATAATCTCATTTCAAGTTCCATGACTACAAAATACCTGAGGAAATTCTTTGATTGCATCATTACATATTTAAGCTTAACAACTTCAAGAATATTACAATAACAATCATAAGTATGAATGCGGGTCACTTTTTAAAGAAGGAAGAGGGTACAAATGAAAAGATCTAAAATTCACAAAGTTTTCCATTTCACTGAAGCAGTCATTAAACACATTAAAGTATTATCACCTTCACTATCTTCCCCTTTTTTCTTTTTCTCAATAAAGTCAAGCAGTATCTCTGATATATCTTTATCCTCACAATCAAAATTGGAATGTCAGGTTGTAATATGTATATTAACTTACTAAGTAATGTAGTAACAAGTTGAATTACATTAAGACGAAAAAATTTCTAAAATACAAATAATATGATAAAGACAGGTTTCAATTTATACATTTATTCAAGCGCTTAGCAAGATTACCTTTGCTGTCAGGATGCATCAAAAGTATTTATATTTTTTATGTACTTTTCCTACAACCTCATTTCAAGTTTGAATCTAAAGACATTTAATGGACTCTACTATATTATTAAATCTTTTTTTTATCATTTCACACAAATAAAGCCACTAAGATGCAAGGGGTTACTGAGTGTTAGAGAATATGGGAAAAATATACTATTAAGGAGAGAAGGCAATAAAAGAACAATAATTAAGAAGAAAGAAGATAACGATTGACATTGCATTTAAATTTTGAAGATCAAAGTTAACAGAGAAGCAAGAAACCGGAAGAGAGTTTCACAAGTGAGAAACAACAATAAAATAAACTGTTAGCATAGAAATTACGGTTACATCTAGCAATTTCAAATTTAAAAGGATGAGACCATGCTGCCAATCTAATATTGGGCTTAAATTCATAAAGTCTAGGTACCATAGAAGAAAGTGATATTTATTCTGTTTAATACAGAAATGTGGCACAAGGCCGAAAAGGGGATTGGAGAAAGGATGGTCTTCTTCTGTCTTAACTATAACTTAGCTAGCCGCAAGCACTGACACAAACGTACAAAACAATAATCCTTACACCAAAACAACACATTCATTCGTACCTTTCTTACTACAACCACCATAATACCTCTTTGTCTCTATGAAAATACTAACTAGTCCCCATATTTACAATTTGTGGTCTGTGGGGGAAAGAGAATAAAACAACAATTCTAAAAATTAACCCCAATGAGTATTTACAATATGCATACAAAAACTATTCACAAGAAACTAAAGAAAATAAAATTAGTAATAAAACCCCCCACAATTTCCTAAATGTGACAGAAACATCACTTCACTGGCCGAAATCAATGCGGGACTATAATAGTAAACCATTCATTCATCCCAATCACTCACACTGACATGCACTCATTCAGACACAACAACAAATACGAAAAAACACTCACAAAAAAAACGAAAGGCGCCCCGCAACCACCAGCGAACTGACATCACTGACCACCTAACGAGGGAGGGGATGGGGAATTAAACTTAAAGAAAAAACAAATGGGGACAGAAATAAAAGGGGGCCAATGAGCATACATACCCTAGCTAAGTTAACTGAAAAAGGAAACTAAATCATCAAAAAGGAAAACCTAAGCTAGCCTAATTTCAGGATGGGTTGCACAAGTTCAACCCAGGAAGAGCAATATCCTGATGCCTAACCGGCATCAATGTGCCACTCAAAGTCAGCTCCTTTCACACGACACAAGCGCGCAAGATTCACCCACCTTTTGCTGAATTCTGATGAAGTGAGCCGCTGCCTTTCCGTCCTAATCTTGACTTAAAGCTGATGCTTAAAGTACAAGATCAGTTGGGAAGAGGTGAACTTCTCGCCTCCATAGAATCCCTTCTGACGTGTTGTCCAAATCACGACTCTCATAACACCTAGCAAGCAGTGGAACACATACTGTTCAGCCTTCGTCAGCAGCGTGTACCACATTGCTACAAACGGAAACGGACTGAAGGACAAAAACTTTCCCTGCAGCATGCGGACCATGAGGCCTTCAACAAACTTGACCAACGGCACTACCTGGCTGCAATGAAAGAAGGCGTGACCCAAAGGTCTCGACCTCCCCATCACAACGTCGGCAGTTTGGAGATTTCTCCAAGCCAGCTGAGCAGAGTCTTTTGGCGACCCAGAGGGCCCAGAATCACCAGCCAGATGAGTGATGCTTCATCGTTATTGAGGCATTTCAACCCGGGCGCCCAAGGCCATATTGAGCGAGCCTGCTTTTTCGTCAAATCAAGCTCGTCAATCAGATCATCATGCACGGCCCCCTGAAAAAACTTGATATAATGCCCTACGAGACAACGCCTGGACGTTGGAGAGGCCATCCGACGCCCGTAAGAGGTGCTTCAGAGCAACGACATTCACGATAGAAGGAGCATTCGGCTTGGGGTAAACGGCGGGCCTCCTCCTCACACAAATGCACACTTCTCAGGGATGGGAAGTTCTTACGGCGTCTTCTTCCTTCCAGAAGGTGCCCTCCTCATCCGAATCGCGACACATTCGATCCAGAAAGCTAATGCGAAGCATATATTGACGAATCTCAATGCTCGGCATGCCCAGACCACCTTCAGATGGATGAAGGCAACAGATCTCCCGAGACTACCTGGCAGCCTTGCCTCCCCACAAGAAGGAGAACAAGAGCCTTCACTAACGCCAGTAAAGTGTCACACGGAAGTGGAAGCACAGAGAGTCGGTAAAGGAGAATCGGGTAGATGTGTGAAACACAAACTTCCGCCCTCCCCTTTAAGGAAAGATTCCTCCGAGACCACAAATTAATTGCGATCTCGGCCTTCCCTCACACCTCCGACCAATTCATTTCCAACTGGAGATCAGGACCGAAAAAGACGCCGAGAATCTTGACCGGCCCATCCGTTCAGCGGAAAGGCCCGGGAAGAGAAACTCCCTTCCACGCACCCAACCGCAAGCCAACAGACTTATCGTGGTTGATCTTGGCCCCTGTCACCATCTCATAACAACTGATTTCTTTGCTGACTTCGTCAATCTCGGCTCTGCTCGACACAAGAGCCGAAACATCGTCAGCATAGGCAGAATACCTGGCCGATGTTCTACCACCGGGCAGGGCGATTCCACGTAGGACCGGATTCACCTTTAACTTGTGAAGGAAAGGTTCCAACGCAAGAACGCAAAGCAAAGGCGATAGCGGACAACCCTGACGAATGGAGCGAGACAATACGAAAGGCTCCGATCGTACCCCATTCACCTCCACCAGTGCACCGGGAGTCGCATACAGAAGTCGGATCCAGGTGCGAAAGTATGGCCCGAAACCGGCCGCCGAAAGAACAGCCTCCAGAAAACGATGGTCAACCCTATCGAAGGCCTTGGACTGATCTAAATTGATCAGCGCGGCTTCACTGTCGACTTGCTCGATGATCAGGCGCACCATATGAAGGTTGTTCTGAATAGTCCTGCCCTTCACAGCACAAGTCTGTTCCGAGCCAATCAGACTAGACAGGACAGCCTGAAAAGATCCTGAAAGTAGTCACGAAAAGCCTTACATATGTCCTCGTTTGTTGTCACGGTCCGCTTATCCGACAATGTGACGCATGCGATATGCCGCCGAGATGCATTCCGAGCTTCCTCTGCACGCAATTCAGTGGCCATATTCGTCGCCTCAGAGGACATTCTTTTTAACCTAGTCCTAACTACCAAAGCTTGATCCTTCTTGATAAGCAAGGAGGCCAACTCTGCATTAGCTAAGGCTATTTCCCCACTATCACGGGATTTCACCGCCCGATCAACTTTCTGCTCTAAAGCCGTTTGCGCCGCTAATCTATCTAGATTGAGCCGACGACTATAATCAGCAGCAAACGTTCTGATTTTGGATTTTAATTTATCCCACTAGGCATTTCCCACAACCGCTCCCGTCAGTTCCTCTGTATCATTAGTAAAGCTGGTCCCGGAAATTTTGCTCACCAAATAATGATGAGTTTAATTTCCAGTAGCCAGCCATCCTAACCTTTTAGGTTTATCTAAGTTTACACGGACCCGGACAAGCCTATGATCCGAATAAACTATCTCATGGAAACTTGGACACCCTAAGAGCCCTACATCGACTCTCCTAACTAAGACTCGGTCTAGATAACTAGCCGAGCCGCCACTATTTTGTCCAAGTCCACACTACCTCCCGAGGGTGTTCATTTCGGTACTTATCGACAAGATCAAACCCATCGATAAAGTCCCGAAATGGTTTCACGTCCCGGTTGTTAGTACCCGAATTTGTCCCTATGCGATCTATATCGGGATAAAGGACGGCATTCCAATCCCCCACTAAAACTACCCGACGAGATGTCGTCAAAAACTGCTCGATCCGCCGAAACAAGGCAGGCCGTTCAGAATGGACATTGGGCGCATAAACCCCAATGAGACGAAGAGCCTTATCCTTTATGGTAACATCCAGCACGCAAAGCCTGCCCGCCGGATCCTGCGAAGACAAGAACACACGCAGCCTTCAA